TTCCCTATCCTCTTACTTCTTGTTCTTATATCCTGCCTTTCCTCCTCTTAAACCTATTTCTTAGACCAATTATAAAAAGTAAATATACCACAGGAATCTGGTAAGTTGCCATTCTTGACTAGACCAAACAGCCCCAAAAAGCCTATGTCCCCGAAATGGGCACATAAAAAATGAATCTCAGAACTACTATAATTACTGCTTACACATCAAGATTTCTAAAGGAATTTGAAATTAATGTTAAATGACTGATAAGAATCAAATTTTGTTACCTTGAGAAAGCTGCATCAAGTGAATATGCAAACTGCCAGGGATAACAGGTTCAGGAAGTTCTTGAAGGAAAAACCTAAGAAGACTAATAGCTGAGGGAACATCTGCTTCCTTAACCAAATCCACTTCTTCTCCACTGTCGTATCTCTGCCGAAGCCACTCCACTGTCTCAGCATTTCCATTGACTTGAAAAAGTCCTTGTTGCTCCAGACCTCCTACATTAGTTCAAGGCAAAATTAAATAAGTTTCAACTTCGATTACTTGGTCATATATTCGCCACTCAACTTAAAATATTCAGACTTTTGGAAAGCCATTCTTAGCTCCCCTGACTGGGCTAAACACCTTCAAATTACACACCTAGAAACATACTAACTCTGTCTGTCCTGAGGGATATTCTATTTTATCCCACCCCCCTATTTTTTTAATATATTTTTATTGATTTCAGAGAGGAAAAGAGAGGAAGAGATAGAAACATCAATGATGAAAGAGAATCATTGATCGACTGCCTCCTGCACGCTCCCTAATGGGGATCAAGCTCCCAACCCAGGCATGTACCCTAATCTCCTGATTCATAGGTCAAAGCTCAATCACTGAGCCACACCGGTCGAACTATCCCACCCCATCTTACCTTCATACCTAATTGTGTGTGTGTGTGTGTGTGTGTGTGTGTGTGTTTCTGAAATCCTTATATGATGATTCTTTAAGATCATGCACCACTCCCACTTTGCAAAGGGGGATAGGGCGTGGGTTCCCTTTCCGAAATCTGAGTCCCAGCAGCAGTCCTGAGGAGCAGGGCCAGGCAGAGGCAGGGGCCAGCAGCTGCAGCTGCTCTGCCAACTCTC